ATGGTCCTCGGTGCTCTGTGGCACTGAGCCACCAGCTGATTGTGCTGCCTTGGGCCAGCAGTGCTGGGATGCAACTTGGGTCTCACTTCTGGAGGCATCCAGGCATGAGAATGGTACCTGGAGCAGCACTGGGAGCAGGGTTTGGTGGCAGATTCCCTCTGTGGTTTTAAGAGCTGGGGGGATTCAGTCTCATCTGTACCCAGAGCATCACCTCCAGCACCTGACACACAAATCTGACTAGAAGGCTGCTGTTGTTGAGAAAAGAGAGTGGAATAACAAAAAGGGCAGTTTACTCTCTACAGAAACACTTTATTAAGTATTCTGGTTTTTTAAACTTAATAATGGAGGAGAGGAGCTGAGCTGAGCAGCTCTGGCAGGCAGCTCAGAGAGAGGAGAGTGAATGTGCTCCCATCTGGGGGATCCGTGTCAGTAATGATTTGCCTTCCAGTGACCCCTCACCCATCTCTCTGCTAATGAGCTTTGCAAACGAGAAAGTGAGCAAAGGCTCCTTTTTTACTTTACGTGAGCAGGGACTTGTCCAGGTATTTATTTTCCTAAGGCACAGCCTCTCCCAGGTTCTGTTGTGTGCCTGTGTTCTTTCCCCCTGAAGGTGATCCTCCTCCCATTGTGTTAGCTCTGGCTGTGCTGGGGATGCTGCTGGTGGTGATGGGCACAGGAGTGTGCCCAGTCCTGGTGGCAGGAGGCCACACATGTCACACACTGTGCTGGGGTGACAGCAGTGGGCACAGGCATCCCATTTTGTTCCCAACCACAGCCCCTGTGTATCGGTGAGGCTGGATCTGGTGTATTCCCAGGGCTGATGTGGCCATGTGGCAGCAGGCCCTGACAAATCTGCCATTCCATGTCACCTTGGAGATGTCATTTAAAAGTGAAAAAAGCCTGTTTCACAAAACAGATAAAAATAGCACTTCCTATTCAGCACATCCATCCCTGTGCGTACTCAAAATTCATTTGCTGACTGCAATCTCAGGAATAAGGACCTGTGTGCTCTGGGATCAGAGAGGATGGGCTGGTGTCCAACTGTGCCATCAGCCAAAACATGTGGAGCTGCTGGTGGTTCCTTCTCCTCAGACCCCTTGGCAGCAGCAGGGTCAGAGCATTGGAGCTGAGGGTCGTGTTTAGCCTTCAGGACCTGAGTTATCAGTGCTAACACACAACAAGAAAAGAAAGTTTTCTTTTCCAGTGCCAAGGGCAATTTTCAGGGCTGTCTGTCAGCACAGAGAAATCAGTTCACTTCTGCATAGATGGAGTGGATTTGCAAGAGCGTGGAATTATATTTGTATGGTAACAGCCTCTCCTTGGATTTTGAGCAGAACATGAGCTGGAGTCTCCCCCTACATCTTTTTTTCCTCTCCATGGCATGGATTAAGCCCCAGACCCTTTTTCCAAGCTCTGAGCTATATTTCCTGGTCAGATCCATGGATAAAGGATGGGCTGGGAATTGGAAGTGAACACATGCAGTATGAGTCTAACGTGGTGAACCACAAAAAACTTTTCCTTTCGAATTGCTGGGTAACAGTGTGTGGGATCCCTTTGCTTGTGTGGTGAATAAATCCATGCCTTGTGTGGATGAGGGGTGTGCAGAGGTGTCTGACCAGGACCTGGTGGGTCACCAGCTTTCCTCCCTCCAGGGTGGGACGTGCCACCCGTGCTCGCCCAGACAGAGTTATTGACCGAGTTGCTCATTGATTTTGTAATCATTTTCCAACAGAGCCCCCCGTCCTGTGTCACTGCCAAGGCAGATTGCAAATTGAACTGCACCTAAATTGATGGGGCATTGATTAAAACTCACCGTAATTATTGGTTCTCTGCTGCCCAAGCCAGGCAAATCAATGTCAGCAAGAACAGATCTTCTCCTTTATAAAAGCCCAGTGAACAGAGTGAGAGCTGGCTTTCCAAGCCCTTCCAGAAGCCCAAGCTGCTCCATCAGGGAGTCAGGATTAGCACAAACTGGCTTTTTCCATGGTCATTTCTGACTCCTGTGGGCAAGAACATAGTTGCACTCAAACGGACTTCAGTTTTCCCCTCACTCTGATTTATTTGTGGGACATCCCAATGGGAAATCCTCTGCTCCAGGGGTAGGGAGGTGTGTTACAAAGATTTATAGGCCCAGAGAAGCTGTGGCTGCTCCAGGAAGTATCCAAGGCCAGGTTGGACAGGGCTTGGAGCAACCTGGGCTAGGAGTTGAGCTGCTTTTTAAGGTCCCTTTCAACCCAAACCATTCTGTGATTTGTTGTGCTCAGTAATTGTTTCATCCACCTATTCATCCCTGCAAAACCCTCCATGAAGAGGCTGGTGTTGCCTGGCCAGTACTAATTGCCAAGTTTGCTGTTTGCCCTGGCTCTCCTGAGCAGGGACACACCCCGTGTTTTCAGGTTGGCTCCCAAAGCTGTCTGTCCCTGGAGAGCTCCGTGCTGCAGCACAGCAGCTGACTGGAGAGCCAGCTCTGCTCTGAGCAGGGATGGATGTGGAGAGACAGGAGTGCTTTCTTCTGCAAATGCTGTGCTGAGCTATTTGCCTGCTGTAATTAATGAGTATTAGGATGCATAATTATGAACTGAAAGGAAACATGTTTCGTGGTGGTTAAGAGCCAAAACCGGAGGAATATCCCAAGGGTGGCCTCGAGCAGAGTAGGACGAAGGGAGGGAGGGCTTTGCTGACCCACTAACCCAGTCACTGGGAAAGAACCATCTTCTTCCTCTGTGAGCTGGAGAAGGTGCTGAGCTCAGCACATGGAGCTGTGCCAAGGCAAGAATTCCAAGTGACAGCACCAAAAAAGCCGTGGCTGATCCTCTGGCTGTGGTCCTGTAGCTCCTCACAGTCCCATCCAGCTGCCTTCAGCACCCTGGAGGATCCCTCAGGATCTCTAGAGGGAAGATGAGCAGAGCCCTGCCCCTATCCCTGTAGGTGTGGGGAGAGCAGCAGAGGCAGATGCAGTGAAGCAGAGATGCTGTTTGCAGCCAGCCCTCCCCTCCAGGGAGATCCTCTCTGCCAATTTGCACAGCTCTGCTCTTACAGCAGGGCTGGCAGACAAGCAGGAGAGCACGGGAGATAAGAGCTCTATCTGCAGATTCACAAACACTCTCATCCTGCTGCTGTTTCTCAGGCAGCTCCAGGGTGGTGAAAAGCACAGATTGTTCTCAGTGTCCTCTCCTCCTTCATTATTCTGTATATGCATCTGGAAAAGCTCCTGCTCCCAATTCTTCTGCTGCTTCCTGCTGCTAATTCCAGAGCTGTGTCTCTGGGACCCTGCCTGCTCTGCAAGGATGGACAGCATCCTGTTCCAGAGCCTTTTGCTGCCAGGATCCTTTGGAAAAGCCTTGTGCCTTCCCTTCTCGTTTTTCCCAGTGTCCCCAAGGATGATGCTGAGGTTTGCAGGCTGCAGAGCTGAGGGCACGAGAGGCAGGGAGGGATCTGAGGGACAACTGGCTCAGAGATCAACACATCCCAGCTGCTGCAGGCAGGGCAGAAACAATTTTGATGCTGCTGCTGTAGGGAAGGGGAACAGGGCTTCTAGGAGGTGGAGAGAAAGATGAGGACAAGCCTTATAGCAGGGTAGGACAAGTGTGATGGTTTTAAACTGAAGGAAGGGAGGTTTAGATTAGATGTTAGAAAGAAATCCTTCCCTGTGAGGGTGGAGAGGCCCTGGCACAGGGTGCCCAGAGCAGCTGTGGCTGCCCCTGGATCCCTGGCAGTGCCCAAGGCCAGGTTGGACACTGGGGCTTGGAGCAGCCTGGGACAGTGGGAGGGGTCCCTGCCATGGTAGTAGGGTTGGAACTGGATGATCTTTAAGGTCCCTTCCAACTCAAACATTCTATGATTCTGTGATGGCTCAGGGTGTGCCAGGACCCCCTAAAGCCCCTTTCTGCTGTCCCTGTTTGCTTCTTAAGTAGCCAAAAGTGAGCGAGGCTCAGCAGCCCATCTCTCAGCAGGACCCTGCTGGTGTCAGTGAGCACAAGGTCCAGGGTCTCCTGAACTTTTATTAATATGTACAGCATTTTGCTCACATGGAAAATTGATTTTCTTTTTTAAGCACGAAGTATAGTGGTTTTATAACCTTTCTTCTGCTTGACAGAGGCCATTTATAACCTGCCTTCATCACTACCTGTGCCGTCTCCAGTCTAACTCATCTTCAAGAAATTCCATAATGCATTTTTAATTGTGAGCTGCTCCTAGACAAGATTTATTTATTTTTTCAAGGACTGGCCTTTTTGTTGTCGTTTGTGTGCGTGTCTGTTTGGTGAAAAGGGATAGATAACAAAAGTGGAAGTGTGCTTTAATCCGGGTGACAATTTATCGATGGCATTTGCCACCTGCTGGCTTTTGTCTTTTGGGACAAGGAAAACAAGCTGGGGAACTGGAATCAGAAATTAGAGCCATGGTTCCCTCAGCTGTGGAAAACTGATGAGCCTGGGCTGCCATCCTGGCTGCCCCCAGTCCTGTTTCTGTCGTGGGCTGGTCCTGCCCACAGATCCTCTTGGACACGATGCCAAGGCCATGCTTGCTGACCTGCCTGGCACCATGGCTTGAGATGGATTTCTAGGTCATTCCCAAGCACTGAGACGGTTCTCTGGGTTGGTCTCAGGTGTTGAGGTGTTTATTTCTGGGTTGCACTGGATTTTTATGCATTTTGGAGGAACAGGGAGCAAACACAGAGGGTTGTGATGTTTTGCCAAGCACACTGTGGCTTGAGGCTTTGTTGCTGGGTAGTTTTGCTGCCCCAAGGCTTTCACCCTCTTCCAGAGGAAGGGTGAGGGGGGAGGCATTGCCAGCAGACCAAATCCTTGCCCCATGGCCCTTGCCCCTTTCCCAGGGGCTGTGTGAGATGATGCAGGGCTACTCACCCATCACTCAGGACAAACTCATCTCCTTCAGGTGGACAAGGAATTTAGCCGCACTGGCTCTGGGAGGGCACTGGACAGGGGCTCCAGGGTGGGGAGGACACACAGGTGACATTTCTGTGTGTCCTGTCTTTGCAGTGCCCCGAGGACCTGCGGCCCATGAAGGATGGCACTGGCTGCTACGACTACTCCAAGGGCATCGACTGCTCCGACGGCTTCAACGGCGGCTGCGAGCAGCTGTGCCTGCAGCAGACCCTCCCCCTGCCCCACGACCCCTCCTCCAGCACCATCTTCATGTTCTGTGGGTGAGTCCCCTCTAATCAGGCCCCTCCAAGGCTCCTCAATGAGCAACCCCTTCCTCATCTCCATCCCTGCCACCTCAGTGCCACCCATCCCAACCCAGCTGATTGCCCAGGAAAAAGGCTGTTGATGGAGCTGACTTCCAGCAGGGAATGGAGGCACCTGGTTTTCCTGAGGGAAGTGTGAGGAGCAGATGCACCTTCCTTCTCTCCCCCACTGTGTGACAGTACAGTTTGATCTGTGACTCACTGTGAAGGGACCCAAAAATTGTACATTGTGTGTTGGAGGGGAAGGTGTAGGATTTGTTTAAAAAATACTACTTTTTAAATTTACTTTTTTTTTCCCCTCCCCTGTGCCTCCCTTAAAAATAGAGCCTCATCCCTGATTTTGGCCGGGATCTTATAATCCTACACAATTTAGCATTTTCTCTCAGGAAAATCTCCCTGGCTGCAGTGTGCTCTGAAAGGAGCTCAGTGATTATCTGGCTTTATGCTGCACAGCTGCAGCCATCCATCGCCTGCCCCAGCCCCATGGCTGCTTCACACTCCCAGGCACACACAGGAACCTACTCCACGTCCCAGTGTGACAGATTAGGATGAAGAAGGGGGAAAAAAGCCCTTTTGGAAAGAAAATGCCCACAAGCAAGAAAGGGAGTGAATTCCTAGCAGTAACTCCGAGGAGCATCCATCAAGTCCTGATGCCTGCAGGTGCAGCAAAGACCTCAAGCAGCTCTGGCTGCTGGCTGGTCCCTGGGAAGAGCAGCCCAGGGAGCTCTGCCTGTGCCAGCTTCTCCTTTATTTATCTCATTTTTGCTGGTTTGTTTTGTTTTTATTTTTATTTTCTTTCCCCCATTACCCTTTTTTATTATTATTTAGCAGCTCGGAGTGACTGAGTCACCAAAACAGAGCACGTTTTCTGCTCCGTGCCTGCAGAAGGGGTTGGAAATTCATATGGGCACCAGCATCCTTTGTGGGGAGGGTCTAGAAAATCTTGGGACATTCCATGGTCTCCACACACACCCACATGAATCTACATAATTTCAGCCTTGCATCCCCAAGGACAGAGACTCTTTCCTGTTTTTTTTTTTTTCCCCCTTCTTTTTTCATAATCCCTTTTCAAGGCTGAGCTGTGCTTTGGGAACAGGCAAGGAAAAGTGTGACAGACGGGTGGGAGTTCTGCCTGCAGTAAAATGCAGGAGAGGAAGGGGAGAGGGAAGCAATCCTGGGTACAGGTGGGGTTGGTGTCACAGCACTGGGTCTGTCAGAGGAAGGAGTAGGGAGAGAACAGAGGCTTCCCAGTAAGGTGGGAGCTGAGGAAAAGGTTGGTGGAAGAGGAAGAGAGGCAGAACTGCACATGTACAAAAGATTCCACCAAGGTCTCCTGTGTCTGTAGTTAAATCACATCCCTGCTGCCTGCCTCAGTTTCCCTTCCTATCAATTGAAGATGAACATGTGACTCTTACCCAGAAGAGCCTTGGAAGTGGGATCAAGGAGCAGAGAAGCAGCCAGGCTGGAGCTGATTTCTTGCAGGAGGGTTTTTCTAGCTGGAAGAAAGGGCAGGAGCTTGATTTTGCTTTGCTGTGACCCGGGGAATGTTTGTACCCAAGCAGCAGGCACAGTGGGCTCAGCTCTGCTCTCCAGCGTGGGAGCAGCTCCAGGCAGGACAGCATGGAATCATGGAATGGTTTAGGTTGGAAGGGACCTGAAAGCTCCTCTTTTTCCACCCCCTGCCATGGGCAGGGACACCTTCCCTCAGTCCAGGGTGCTCCAAGCCCCACCCAACCCCACTGCAGGCAGATGGGCCGTGCTGGTCAGGAGGGAGGGGAGTTGGGAGCCAAGCCCCCATTCACTGGTCACCCAACCCAGCCAAGACAGAGGATTTGGGCTCTGTGACCCTGCACGTGTCCACACAACTGCTGCAGGTGTTGGTGGTGCTTGGTGGGCTCTGCAGAGGCTCGTGGGGTGGGCTGCTCTGTGCCTGGCTCATCTCACATGGCCTGTGGTGCCCCACAGGTGTGTGGAGGAGTACAAGCTGGCCCCAGATGGGAAGTCCTGCCTGATGCTGTCTGACATCTGCGAGGGCCCCAAGTGCCTGAAGTCAGAGGCCAAGTTCAATGACACCCTTTTTGGGGAGATGCTGCACGGCTATAACAACAGGAGCCAGCACGTCAACCAAGGGCAGGTGTTCCAGATGACTTTCAGGTATGTCCTGGTTCTGCTCCTACTTCTGGGAATATCAGGGTGGTGAGATGGGACCAAGGTCCAGTGGGACAGAGCCAGCATCTCTGATTTGTTCATGAGGGGAAGAGAGCAAGAGGACAAGAAGCATCCATGGCTTTGCTACCTGCTCATCCTTCCCTCTGACAGCAGCACAGGACCCTCCTGGGCCAGTGTGTGTCCTGTGATGAGACACAGCCAGCTGTGCTCCCTGGGCCTGTCTCAGGAGTGTTGCCTCGTCTCTTTCTGAACACTGATGTCTTCCATCTCCATGATATCCTACAACAAAGAGTTGTTTAATTGTGTGAAAGAGCATTTCCTTTGCTGTGTTTCCAGCCTGTGCCAGCTGGTTTTATTCATGCCCCCATTACAGCACTGGGAGGAGCTGTGGATATAGCATGATAAATAATGTAAATGAGCTGAAGGTAAATGCCTTTACCTTGCAGGGCTCACAGAGGAGAGCTTGCTGAATTCAGGGCTGGCAAGTGAGTTATTTGGTTATTTTTCTTCAGGTCTTCTGAGTGCAGCTGTGTTTGGATCAGGTGTAAGCCAAGGTGGCTCTGTGAGTTTCAAAGCAGCAGCACTAATTAGAGTCAGGAGAGGATCCAGCCCACATCCCACCCAGACGTGGCTCTTCCCTGCCCAGCACCTGTTTCTTTACTGTTCAGGCACCAAGACCTCATTGCTGCCTTTGATTTTAGATGGAGCTGTGAGTCCTCGTCCTTGCTGCCCACAGAGTTTTTCCAGGTGTTTTTGCCCAGCTGATAAAAACTTCCCTGGCTCTGGATTCAAGCTGAGCTCTGTCTTTCTGCTCTCTTGATGACAGAGGCATTACAAGCTCCATCAGCACAAAGGTGCTGGGAAAGCCACAGCCAGCAGAGCTGCAGCTTTTGCTAGAACTGAGAATTGACAGAACACAAAGACAATTTTCTCACTAGACTCCTCTTTTCTTTCTCTTCATATTGTCAGAAGTCCATCAGAGCAGAGCCAGGGCTGCAGAGATGATGTTTTCCATGAGCTGCTGGGGCTAAGGGATGCTTTGTTGCTTCCAGGTAGCAAATGTATCCTCTGTTCTAAGGGCTGAATTCCATCTGAAAAGCACACAAGGATTGTCTGTGGGGCTGATTTATCCTGGGGCACGTGGCTTCTTCAAGTCTTCCTCTCTGAGGGCATCCCAAGGATGACAATTTGGGCAGTCCTGAGCTGGACCTGGACCAATTCCTGCCGGGGTTGCCCTTGGAATAAAACACCTGAGGTGTTGAGATGGCATCTTCCAGAGGCCAAAAAGCACTCCTTGGGGCTCTGCTGACAGGTTTTGTGGTTAAAAAAAGGGCTGTCAGTTCTTCCCAGGGCTGACACCACTCCTGCCGTGCTGGCACAGTGGGGAGAAGCTTTTCCCAATGAGGACCTGTGCAGTGACAGCCAAGTTCTTTGTACAACCTGCTGTCACACACAGGGATTTCAGCCTCTTTAGTCCCAGGTGTGGCAGCAGTGAGGGGCAGGAGAAAGCAGGTCTGAAACAGGAGCTACCTGCAAAGCTGCCCAGGTGGTGCAGGCTGTAGCGGTGAAGTGACTCTGCAGAGCACTGGAGAGAGGCAGCACATCTTGCTCCACAAATGCTTCCAGCAGCCTGGCAGGTCAGCACAGCTGCCCTTTTCCCATCGGAGTGTAGGCTCCAAGAGCAGCAGGCAGTGATGGGAAGGGCTCAGTTCCCTGTGTGCAGTGTCCTCCCCCGTGGCCAGGCTGCCAGGGGTGCCAGCGGGTTACGGTGCACAAGCACCATTGCATCATCTCTTAACAAGGGAAGAGAAGGAGGTTAATGGAGAAGAAATTATTAACTAAAAGATGTAATTTGCCTCTGATTTTCATAGATATTCAAGAACCTCTCTGAGCATTAAGACACCAGCTGTTAGAGAAGCCCTTAATTTGGTGCATTTGAAACATAGCAGGAAGCTGCCTAATACTAGGGATTAAAAGCCTGTTTCTGCGAAGTAGGAGCAAGAACCTGCTATCAGAACAAGGGGCTGAGTATTTTAGAGGGATTTATGACTGCTGGGATCCTTTAGCTATGCAGATGTGACAATCTTTTGAATGGTGTCTGCTTCCCATGTTGCCACATCTTCAGTGTCTTTAATAAATAGGATATTCTCAATCTGCCAGGCATGTCAGCATGGGGTTGGGAGAGAGCCTTTGTGCTGGGAAAAGCTGCCTTGCATACCCTGGCCTGGGCAACACTCATCAGTTACTGCAGAATTTCCATCCCCTGGGGGTCAGGGAGGTCTCTTTGCCACCTAAGGGGCTGCAGCACTGATTAATTAGAGTCTCTTCCCTTCTGGTGGCTGCAGAATGGGCCAGGTTGGAAGGAACCACTTTGAGTCATCTGGCCCAATTTGGAGCACATAGCACAGGGTTGCATCCAGGCAGTTCTTGGATAATCCAGTGAGGGAGACTCCACACCCTCTCTGGGCAATCTATTCCCATGCTTGGTCCATGGACAGTGAAGAAATTCTTTCTCATGTTCAGATGGAACTTCCTGGGCAGCAGTTTCTGCCCATTGCCTCTTTTTGGTCCTGTTGCTGGGCACCACTGTGTAGAGCCTGGTCCATCCTCTTGGCACCCCCTGGCCATGCTCAGCACATCAGTGGGAGGTATGAGGTGTAGCAGTGATGGCTTTATGGTATCTGACCATCTGGAAAGGCTGGGGATGTGCAGTGAGTACCTCCAGGATGCAGAGCACAGATGGGTGTGAAGATGCAGCACAGCTTGGGAGGTCTCAGACCTCAGACCAACGTGTGGTTGCAGTCAGTGCTGCATCAGATTTTGTGTTTCCCCTTCAATGTATGTCATTCTATCCAAGGGGCTCAGGCATTTATCCAAAGACTTCAGCTGTGTGACTGAGGAGATGGTAGCACCCAGGGGATGGGTGGAGGAAGCAGATAGTGGCTGCTGAAGCCAGTGTACCCCAGCAGGGCTGGGCAGCAGCCAGGCTGGTTCCTGCTGTGTGCTCCACATGTGTTCCACGTACACCCAGCACTGATGGAACACGTCACTGTGCTGCCCAGAGCCTGTCCCTGCCCCCACGGCCCATGCTGCTGTCAAAGACCCTTTTCCCCCTCCATCAGTGACAATGAAGCCACAGCCCAGCAGGATGTGAGCACCACAGCATCCCTGCAGCTCTGCTCCAGCCATCAGGAGTCAGCAGCTTCTGTTCTGAGGTGGCTTAATAACCACTAATGACTTCTGTGGGGGTTGGGGCGCTCAGCTGCTCTGTTGGACATGCCAGCATCAAGGTTGCTGCTTGGAGGAGTGCACCATGGCATTGCTGCTGCTGCTGCCTTATTGCAAGGATTTAAATCAAAGCATTCCTCCAGTGATGCTTTTCCTGTGCAGTCCCTTGTGAGCACTCTGGGAGGGGACTGAAGAGGGATCTTCCACCACTCACCAGAAGCCTCCTTTGGTCCTTCCACTGCTGAGCCAAAAGCACATTCAGAGCCGTCTTCTTCTGGGCACCCCTCTCCTTTCCTTAAAAAAGGTTGTTCCCATTGGCAAAATGTTCTGTGAGGTTAACGAGTAGATGGGATTGGAGCTGATCTATTCCAGTCACACCTCCTGGTCTAGCTGGGAGGCTCAGCAATGGATGCAGCTCACTAAAGACTAGATTAGAGCGATTTTCCCCCTGTTGCCTCACGGTGGGGCAGAGCCTGAACTCTGCGCCGTTCCCAAATCACTGAGGAATTATTTTCCAAATGGGTTGTTTGTTCATTCTTTATCTGTTTTTTGTGCCATCTCTTTGCCATGAGGGAATAGATATTTTTGTTTAAAAGCTGTTTGCAGTTTCAGACTGTTGCTTTTATGCCATTAATATGGAGAAATCCCAAAATACTGCTTGTGGAGCCAGCTTTATTTCCTGGATTATTGCTGCATGGCAAATGGGATGTCAGAGCAATGCATGGCAGCTGGGAGCAGCTGTCTGCCCTTACCAGAGTCCCTTCCCATCCCTACCTCTGCCTCTCATAATGGCTCTTGCTCCAGCTTGGCAAAGCCCCAGGATCCAGGAACGCCCACACAGTCTCTGTTTGATTCCTCCCAGCGGAGATGCAGCGAGTCCAGGGAGTTTGAAGGTGTTGAGGGTGGGTAAGGAGCCAGAATGGTTTGGTGGCTGGAGGCAGGGAGAGCATTCATGTCGGTGTTCCCTCCCTGCTAAGCACCAAGTGGTTTCCCTTCTCCACATCCAGGGAGGATGGCTTTGGAGGCTCCAGGACTGCCAGGCTGTGCCTTGCTCAGCACCTTCCTGCAAATTGGAATCACCCTTCCCCCTGCTACTCAGTCCCTGGAGGATGCTGTTCCCCCCATTCTCACTTATAAAACAGGGCTGCTGCTTCTTTCCAGCCTTGGGGAAGGGAAGGGAGCAGGTTGGAGGTGGTGCTGAGGTGCCCGAGGTGTCAGGAGTGCTGAAGGGAGGGCTGGGCACTGCCCCAACTGCTTCCAGTAGGCTCTGCCTCCACACAGCTCCCTTCATGCTGTCAGATCTCTGAGATGATGTGGGGAATTGTCATAATATTGATGGAGAGTTTGGACAGTTAATTTTAAATCTGTCTCTTCTTCCCCTCGATGCTCCTCATCCCATAATAAGCCAGCACAGTGGGAGCAGGGTGAGCTGGCAGCTCAGTGCCATCCTTGGCAGGGCTGCTTTGGGAAACGTCTCCACCCACTCATTGTTCACCTGCTGCTCTCCCACCCGTGGGTGCTGCCAGGGACTGGGACGGGGGCTCAGCTGGGTGCAGCATCACATCTGGGCTTTGCTGGTGCTGGCTTGGAGCTCACAGGCCAGGCCTGGCAGGGACATCCTGCTTCCCCCTCAGCAACACGAATGTCCTGTCTGTAAGTGGTTAAATTAACACCACTCTCCCCCTCCTCCCCCCCCTATTTTTCTCCCTCTCTTTGAAACCCCCAAGCACAGGAGTTATAATTGTGCTGTTTATTAT